TTCCTTTTGCATGGCTGGAGACTGAACCTAGTCTCTCACACATGAGCAAGCCCTCTACAATGGAGCTCTATCCCCAGTTGCTGCCTTACTTTAACAGCAAGTGTGTGGAAGTGCTGGAAAGATGGCTTAGGAGTACTGGCTGTCCATCCAGAGGTTCAAATCGCAGCATCCACGTTAGTAAACAATTATCTAACTCCACTTCACCTCCTCTTATGGTCTCTGCAGGCCCCAGGCACAAACATGCATTAAAGGCAAAACACCCATGTACACCAATGACCTTAGGATCTGAGACTCCTGGCTGTTCTCTGTGGCCACCCCAAATGACTTTTTTCCTTGTCTTTTTGGTTTTATTTTTGAGACAGGGTATGTAGTCCTTGAACTTGCTTTGCTGACCAGGCTAGCCTTAAATTCAGAAATCCACCTACCTCTGCCTCTGCCTCCTGAGTGCTGAGATTAAAGGCAGGCATGGCACTGGACCAGCAACTCAGTGTTCATGTCTGGATCCACAATTAGGAAGCAGAGAACATAGTGGGAATGACACTGAGTCTTTTGAAATATCAATGATGTCCCCAGTGTCGTCCATACCTCTTTTTTTTTTTTTTTTTCCTGGCCCACCTGTCTTTGCTTAGCTTACCAAAGGGAGAAAATTCGGTCTCTGGAGCCCCTGAAGGCCAAGATTGTCACTATGAATGAGGACTGCAATGAGAGAATCCTGGCAATGAGGGCTGAGGAGAGGTACGAAATCTCCATGCTCAAGAAAGAGAAGATGAATTTGCTTAAACTCATTGATAAAAAGAATGAAGAGAAGATATCACTGCAGAGTGAGGTGAATGGAGGTGTAATACTGACAAAGTCCTGATGTTTCTGCTCTACTTGTAGCCTGCGTGTGTTCATGAGTACTGAGGCAACTCCTAACCCAATCTACCCTTATGCCTGGAATGGAGCATCTTTACTCTGCCCTGTTGCAGTGCTCAGTCTAGACTCCAGTGTGGCTCCAGGTGCCAGCAAACTCTCCGTGCGCTGAAGCACTGACATCAGGATCTCAGGGATGATCACTTTCCTTTCCCCAAGCTGAAGGGACTATTTGTCACGCCCCTGTAGTGACTAGCTACCAGCAAAGATCCCCAGGATCACTGAGTATGCAGCCATAGCCCCTCTACTTTCCCCACCCCTAGGTGAATAAACTAAGGAAGAGCTTGGCTGAGGAGTACTTGCGCTACCTTACTGAACGAGATGCCCGCAAGATTCTCATTGGGGACCTGAATGAGCTTCGGTACCAGCGAGAAGACATGTCATTAGCCCAGTCCCCAGGTAATCTAAGCCAGGTTTCTCTCCTAAAGTGCTGATCTATCTGTCATCATTTACCCTGCTTATTCAACATTACTAATATCTTATTATCCTGTGTCCATACATGGTAGGAGATATCTGGGCCGCTAGCTGGGGCTGTGGATTGAATTAGCCCCACATCCCACACCTGGGACCAAGGTCACAGTGGATCTTTTGAGCTAGACTGAGAATGACAAAATAAAATAGGAAACTTTAACACTGCTGGAAGCTGAGACTCTGTGGGCAGAGGCCCAGCACCACTGGGCTTCTCTACTTAAGCCTGAACCCTTTGGGTCGTGATGCTGTAGACCCACCGAATCCCAAGCAGAGAAGTTAGCTTTCTATTGCTTGATAAAGCACAGTGAGTGACCAAGGCAGCTTACAGAAGGGTTTGTTTGGGACTTAAGAGTTCCAAAAGGAATAGTAGTCTGTCGCCATCATGGCAGCAGGCAGGCATGGCACTGGACCAGCAACTCAGTGTTCATGTCTGGATC